TGAGGCCATTTGGGGAGTGAACCAGAAGATGGAAGACCTCTCTCTGTGTGTCTACCTCTCTCTGTAACTCAATTAACTCAAATTAATAAAATAAATCTTTTTTAAAAAACCCTATTTGAATTGGCAAAAACAGGTGCGGCTGACAGGCAGTCGTGGGTTCAAGATCTCAGCTCTTCAGCTCATTTATGTTAACCTGAGCGATGAGAATCCCGAAAAGGCTCAGCTTCTGCATCCGTAAAATGCTGATGTGGGTCACAAACACCATCTCCCAAACCCTTGAGGAAGTGACTTTCAGAGTTCAGGACCACCTGGATTCTAGAAGGGAATCTTACGTTGGATGTGCCCTCTTCCTACAGTGTCTCAGACAGCCCCTTTCCAAACATATTTTTATTTCCAAGGCCAGATATATTCGCACAAAATGGAATAACCAAAGACTATCAATAATCTTCCATCAACTCAGGTCAGGTAGGATGTTTGCTGCCAAATGAATCACCAAAAAAAAAGACCCTTTAGAATTTTACAATTTTTTAAAAAAGGTATTTATTTTAAAAGCAGAGAGAGGGGACAGAGAGATCTCCCATCTGCTGGTTTACTCCCCAAATGCCTGCAATAGCCAGAGCTGAAGCCACGAGCCTGGAACTCCATCCAATCCTCCCACATGGATGTCAGGGACTCAAACACTTAAGACCTCGCTTGCAGCCCTCCAGGGTGTGCATTAGCAGGAAGACGACATGGGAACAGAGCTGGGATTCAAACAGAGGCACTGCACTAGGGGATACAGGCTTCTCAAGCAGCATCTTAACTACTATGCCAAGCCTCTGCCTCCAGAATTTGAGCCCTTTTTGGATTTTTGGATTGTCAATCAGGAATTGTGGTCCAGACCTGCCTTTCTTACAGAATTGCTGGAAGAATTAAATGAGACAAAGTGTATATGTACTTGGCACATGATGGGAATTCAATAAAACGTTTTTGTTTTAATTTTTAAAGAGTTCTTTTAAAGATTTATTTATGTACTTGAATGGCAGAGTGACAGAGAGAAAGAGAGTAAGAGGCAGAGAGAGATTTTTCATCCATTGGTTCACCTCCCAAATGGCCACAACAGCCACGGCTGGTCCAGGCCAAAGCCAGGAGCCTGGAACTTCACTGGGTCTCCCACATGGATGGCAGGGGCCCAAGTACTTGAACCATCTTCTGCTTTGTTCCTTCCCAGACACGTTAACAGGGAGCTGGATCAGAAGCAGAGCAGCTGGGACTTGAATTGGTACTCATATGGAATGCCAGCATTGCAGGCAGTGGCTTAACCCACTGCTATACAATGCCAGGCCCCAATAAAGGATATTTATGACTTAACAACAACTCATAGAAATCACTGTAATATATCATCACAAACCATTGTGCAAATATTCAATCATAAAATATTCCCCAGTGCCAACCAACAGTACATTTGCTACTTAAGTGCCGACCTGAGCGCCTGGATTTCCAGGCATTATCTCCCTCCCTCCACTCCTCCACCAGTTGCACCTGGTGCTTCTGGGCCCCAGAGGCTGACACACAATCTGCAAAGCCAGTGGTTGGCAGCATAAAGGGTGAACCTGACATCCTCTGATCTGAAGGGCAACATGGAAGCATTCAGATTACTTCTGGGAAGAAAAAAATTCGCACGTCAAAAGTAAATACCAGGGAGGCAGACTGTGCGAATGGAAGCCTGCATTCCAGGAGCTGCCTGGTCAGCTCTGGGCAGGGGAGGCAGGGCCAGGGCCACCGGGCTGTGCGCCCACTGTCAGCACAGCTGTGGCGCTTGTGCAGGGTGGGGGACACAGAGCTCTTCAATGCACTGCGCCCTCCCCTCCCATCCCTGACAGCACCCACAGGCTGGGGCTGGCCAACAAGCCACTTCTTCCTGCCTCTGTTTTCCCCTCTACACCCACAAGAAACTCCAGGTGCAGAGAACTGACAACCAAGGAGCCCTGTGGACCCACAAATGCTGCTTCCGAGGCCTGCCAGGTCCTCTCCCGATCCCGGCGGGGGTCCTGAAGATGCTCCTCTGGCAATGCCATTAGACACCACTTCCTGTCGGCCACTCCCAGCCCTTCTCCCAGCACGTGCCTCCTGTGGTCTCTTTCTGCCTTCTTCCCAAGGAGGGAAAGCCATCTCATGTCTTCCACACTTACCCAATAAGCCCCCGCTCCCAAAATAGGCTCTTTGTTTTACCCTTTCTGCTCCTAGACTGAAAATCAACAATTTCTTTTTAACCAAATAAAAGCCGCAGCTCCCTGCTGCGCCGTGAGGTCTTTTGAAAGCAAGTTCTTCTCATAACTCTCACCTGGTCTTTCCCCTCTCCTAAGTGCAGGAATCCCTCCAGAGCTAGCTGAGTCCTCCATTTGTCCCGTGTACCACTGGATCTTTAGGGCCCAGCACATCAGCACAGACAGGCTGATGCCCACAGTAACTGCCGCCCTCCTCTGGCCCCCTTCTCCTGGAGACCCTTGCTCACTCTTCAGGACTAGGTGGCCCACGACTTCCTCCAGGAAGTCTTCCTTGAGGTCCTCAGCTACTTAAAGTTTCTGCTCCCAGACCACCTCTTGGATCTCCCATCTCAGTAGACTAGTCCCTCTTTATCCAGGATTTCATTTTCCACAGTTTCAGCTTCCCAAAGTCAACCATGACTCAAAAATATTACATGGAAAATTCCAGAATGCACAGCTCATAGTTTGAATAGTGCCCCATTCTGAGTAGTGGGGTGAACTCTTGCTCCATCCACTCCAGGACATGAACCATCCCTTTATCCATCCTAGCCACACTGTAGATGTCACCTAGAAGCTGTCTCTCTCACCAGATCAACCTCTTACTGTCGCAGGGCTTGTGTTCAGGTGAGCCTTATTTTACTTAATAATGACCCTAAATGCAAGAACAGTCGTGATGCAAAGGAGGCACCAGGAAACAGCTCATGGAAGAACTGATCTGGTGCTACGTGACCACGCTCCAGAGCATCTAGGAAAACATATGGTCTGTACAGGGTGTACAGGGTGTGTACCATCCACACTTTGAGGCATCCACTGGGGATTGGAACGCGCCTCCCCGGGATGAGGAGGGTGACCGCACTGAGCACATTGCGTGCAGTTGTACCTGGTATGCTCAGCTGAACCAGGAACCCCCAGGGCACAGAAAATGCATCTTTCTCATCTCTCCATCCTGCGCTTGCCACAGATCCAACACACTCTCTGGACTATGTGAATTCTGTAATTACCTCTAACATACAGGCAAGCCCCTCATGAGAGACAGTGAGGGAAGCTTTGCTTGAGTTATCCAAGTAAGCGGAGCAAACGGAGGGTCAGGATGCTCCGGGGAGGGGCTGGGGACCCCTGGCTTGCAGGCCCTGTCTATCCTACATAGCTGACTCTTCCACCTTACTTTAATAGTAAAATACCCAGGCCTTGCAGCAGGCAGAGGCAAGCAGCTTATCAAAAACATATATCGCCTCTCATAGGTAAATCATTAGCTTGCAACACCCTTCTGGTCCAAAACTGGCCATGGGCTGGGGGCCCTTTCAAGAGAATTAACTGCAAAACTTGTTCTCAAATAGTACTTTTTACGTTGTGTGTGTGTGTGTGTGTGTGCCAACTGTTGAAATCTTTACTTAGTATAGAGTTGGTCTTCTGTATATAAAGTTAATTAAAAGTGAATCATAGACCGGCGCCACGGCTCACTAGGCTAATCCTCTGCCTTGCGGCGCCGGCACACCAGGTTCTAGTCCCGGTCCTGGCGCCAGATTCTGTCCCGGTTGCCCCTCTTCCAGGCCAGCTCTCTGCTGTGGCCAGGGAGTGCAGTGGAGGATGGCCCAAGTGCTTGGGCCCTGCACCCCATGGGAGACCAGGATAAGTACCTGGCTCCTGCCATCGGATCAGCGCGGTGCGCCGGCCCGCAGTGCCATTGGAGGGTGAACCAACGGCAAAAGGAAGACCTTTTCTCTCTGTCTCTCTCTCTCACTGTCCACTCTCCTGTCAAAAAAAAGAAGGTAAACTAAAAGTGATTCCTTATGAATGAATCGGATGGGAGAGGAAGTAAGAGGAGGGACAGGAGTTGGGGTGGGAGGGTGGGTATGAGGGGGAAAACCACTATATTCCTAAGTTGTACCTATGAAAATTGTATTCATTAAATAAAAACTTTAAAATAATAATAATAAAAAAAAGAAGCAAAGAGGCACCCTGTTCCAGGGCTATGACACAGCCCTTGGGTTCCTCTCCCTGGAAGATGCTGAGAAGCCCACACATGGGTCCTTGACCTTGAACCCTAACCCAGATGTGGTTTGGGAGGCAATGTGATTGACAGAGCAGGACTACTTTTGTTTCCAGACCTGGCTTCTCTCACATCACCGTGCTTCTTCCCTCACCTTTTAATTCATTTAAGCCATCCTTTATTGACCCTTCACCAGAGCAAGGCACCAGTGAGACACTGTGGAAACTCTGAAGATGAAAAAGACTGACCCTAGGGGCTGCCATTTGTGGTACAGCAGGTCCAGAGGTGAGGACAACCCCAGTCCTCCAAAAACTTGCTCTCCGGAAGAAAGCAGCCTCCCAAAGCAAGCTCTTGGCACAAGGTGAGATAATGACAGCTTCCTGCCCTCCTCACCTGTCGCTGAGCTCCATAGACCCCTCAGGGTCAACAGGTGAGTGGTGGAGCCCGGCCGGGGCATGCCCCTGAGACCTGACCCTGCAGATGGTGGAGGCCCTATCCAGCAGGGGTTCCTGGGTCCCAGAATTCAAGCACAGAGTGGCCCCACACTCCGCCAGCAGTCCTGCCCTGATTTGGGGGGGTGGGGGGGGACCCTGCAGCCCCTTCCAGCCAGCTGTGGTGGGAGGGCTGCGTTGGAACAGGCTGCGATGGAGGGGCTGGACACGCAGCGATGGAAGGGGTTGGGGGGTGCTTGGCGCAGCACCCTACCCTGCGCAGATTGGCTGAGGGCAAACAGCTGGCGCCCCACCCTGGGCCCAGCCACCCACCTGGGCACGCCCTGGCGTAGTCGAAGCAGCAGTCGCCGGTGAGGCGGCAGGCTTGGTCGCAGAAGCAGGTCCCAAAGACCCTGTCCAGCCTCCAGCCACGGACGAAGCAGGCAGGGTCCCGGCCGGGGCAGCAACGCCCGGCCTCGGCGCAGCCGCCCAGGGCCCCAGGCCACAAACGCGCCAACGCGCACAGCGCCATCCACAGGGTCCTCATGGCCAGGGCTGCTGGGCGCCTGCGACACCGCAGACCCCCGGGGGCAAGTGTCTGCTCTTCGGAGAGCCGCGGCCCCGGAGCTGCCCGGGAGCCCAGCGAGGCGCAGCCCGGCCCTGCCCCGCGCCCGGCCCCCGCCCTCGCGCGGCCCCTCCCCAGCCCTGGCTGCGCGCCCGTCGGGGCTCCGGGCGGGAGGCTGCGACTGCCCCTGCCCAGGACGCGCACTTCGGGCACCCGCCCGCGCCCCCGGCCCAGCCCGGAGATCGCCCCCCGGGAGAGCAGAAAAGCAGGTGCTCCGGGGTCGAGGCGCCCAACCTGGAACCTGGCCAAGGCGGCCACATTTCCTGGTCCCAAACTCTGCTTCCTGACCTCTGGGGACACGCTAGCGAGCGGGTGTTTTGACTCTAATGCCGTGAACCAGCGCTTGGTGTACGCCCAAGGGGTATGAGCAGCACCCCGCGCGCGGACTCCCGGGGGTAGCCCGGGAGAGCCCTAGCTGTGTCTTTTCCAGGGCAGCAGCTCCCCAGCCCTCGGAGTGCCCCCTAGGCATAGAGAATCAAGCAGCTAAGGGCAAAGACTCGTGCTATCTTTCTGCTGCGTTTTATAAAGGGACTTTTCTGCCCCCAGGAAATTGCTACTTTGCTTCATTTAACAGGCAATTAATGAACTGGGGGAAAAGATAAATAAAATACAAGTGACTCTGCTTTCTGTTAAAGCCGATTCCCCAAAAGAAATCCTGTTCAGCGATATTTTAGAAATAACTTCCACTGTATTTTTTTTTAAATATTTTATTTATGTATGTATTTGAAAGGCAGAGTTAGAGTGAGGCAGAGGTAGAGAGAGAGTCTTCCATCCGCTGGTTCACTCCCCAGGTGGCTGCAACAGCTGGAGTTGTACTGATCCGAAGCCAGGAGCTTCTTCCTGGTCTCCCATGTGGGTGCAGGGGTCCAAGCACTCGGGCCATCTTCTACTTTCCCAGGCCATAGCAGAGAGCTGGAAGAGAAGTGGAGGAGCTGAGACTCAAACTGCTACCCAGATGGGGTGCCGGCACTGCAGGCGGAGGTTTTACCCGCTAAGCCACAGCGCTGGTCCTATAACTTCCACTTTAAAGAGGCTCTTGCCTAAAGTATAAACATGTCTCCTTCCCCTTTCTATCAAAATGTATCCCATTTTCCTGCACTTCACTCCTTTTGTTTGCTGAAATTTATCCTGGACTTTCAAGTATTTATTTTTATGTTCTTAAATCATTTGAACTAATATAGTTTTTGTGAGAAACCAGGAATATGTTTTCTGCATCTATAAACTTAACATATCAAATCCATTTCAGAGACTAATTTTCTTGTTTTTTCCTACAAGGACTTCTCGAGGAATTTCCCTTATTCATCAGAGAGAAAAGTAACAAAAGAAAAAAAAAATACTGCCTTACTAAAAAAATAGTAAAATAATAAAGTGATCAAACACACACACACACAAAAACATGCTGCGAAATGAAAAAGATCTAATGTATTATGGGGTGGGCACTTAAAACAGTGGTTCAGACACCGGTTGGCCACCAGCAGTCCATATCCTAGTGCCTGAGTTAATGTACTGGCTCCACTTCCTATCCTGCTTCCTGGGAGACAGCAGGTGAGGGCTTAACTACCTGGTCCCTGATCCCAAGTGGGAGATGCAGATTGAATTCCAGTCTCCTGGGCCTGGCCCAACCTTTACTATTGTGGGCATTTGGGGAGTGAACCAGCAGATGGTATATTCATTTCCCAACCCCCTCTGCTCTCTTTCTCTCTCCCTCTTTGCCTGTCTGCTTTTCAAATAAAATGAAAGCAAATAAAAATGTTTTATAAAGGTTGGACACATTATAAGAATTGTATCTTATAAACTCTAATCACAAATAAAAGTTGACCAATATTACTCTGTTGTCCAACAAAAATACATGCTAAAGTAAAAAAGAAATTCTTTCTCTGTGAGTTTACACAAATAATTCTCAGTGTTGGAAAATTATTTTCCATTTTAGGTCAGTCTCTCTTGCTTTTTAAGTTTAAATAAATAATATAGACTTCTTTGTTTTCTATGTAATTTTCATTTTTGGTCATTGGTCTCAAGTAACTTAGTGGGCAAATGATATGCCCTGCCTTTTCCTTGTGTTGCAGGTTTCATGACCAGTGTTGTCCTAACTCCTCCATGTAATTTATCCCCCACGCCTCTCATGTGCTGTCTGCTCCCTAGAAGGCCTTTAGGCAAACGCTCTGTAATGCCATAAGAATCTGGAACTGTTCCAGAAAGATGTGAAGGAAAATAATCCACTAATAAGTTCACTTTCAGGAAAGAAAAAAAAAAAAAAAAAAAGAACACCATGAAGTGGTAACTGACAAGAGAAGACAGCTCTGGCTTAAACCAATTAAAGACATAACGTCAAATGCCTGCTCAGGCACCATTCGTCCCACCCCTTTTTTTCTTACACCTAGAGAACCAGAGCCAAAACTCAAAAACCAAAAGTGGGGGGATCTGTGCTCAGGAGGTTCCTATTCTAGCATCAGAAACTGGGTTCCGCTCTGAGTCTCCGATCTCTGACAAACGTCTCTTTGTCCCCAGCTCCCACATGGAAAGCCAGAACTTCCCTGAGGGCCCTGGACACTGCTCAATCAAGCACGGCATGGGCACTGAGGACCTGTTGGGGTCCCACTGTCCACCCACTCCCAATCCATAATTTACCCCTAAAACCAAGCAAAAGACACAGGCATAGCTCCTAATGTACAAAGAGAGTCAAGAACAACCTTACAGAATATAGAGGAAGAAAACCACAAATAAGTGATCACTACTTTAATACCTATGGTCAGTAGCATGGTAAGAAACTCACAATCTCAAGTTAAAGCTAGTATGGCCTTGAAAACATCCAGATAAGCCTGCCCCAGCGGCCACGGCAAAGGCAGCCATTCCTGCAGAGCCAGGCCGCCTCAGAGGACGCTGACAGCCAGCCCTCAGCTAAAGCCAGGGAGCTCGCCTCCTTGCTGGAAGCTTGATGCAGTCAAATGTAACAATGGGTCGCCTTGTTTTCCATGCCTTATAGATGTCTGGAGAACCGAAATCATCCCAGCCATCGGTGGATGAATTTAGGAAGTAATCAAATGCCCCTTAAAAGACACCCTTTCTTCTGAAGTGTTGTCTTTGGAAATGGGCCAAGATTGGTAAAATTGCAGAGGGGAACAGAGGCCTACCTGTTCATCAGAATACAGAATGTCATCATTTTCAAGGGCATACACACACACACAACTTCATCTGACCCTACATCACAATGAGGGAAATATTAGCACAGGTCAGGGACACGAGGCATGTACTAATTACTGACAAAATGGGGCTAGAACTGAAATTACTGTATTCTTTCCAAAACGCTGCAATGTTCTCCCCATTATTTAAAGCTGGAGGAAGGGGGAGATGGAAATGGGAAGTAAAGATGAGATTAAGCATTGCATTCAGTACTATAACAAATGTAACAGGCCATCAAAATACAAAGGATTCCTCCCAAAGATTTGGAATACACTTAAAACACACATTATGTATTTTTAAAAAGTACTTATTTATCTATTGAGAGGCAAAGAGAGGAGACAGACAGACAGATAAAGAATTCCCAAATTTTGGTTCACATCCCAAATGCCAGGATCCTGGAACTCAATTCAAGTCCCCAGCGTGGGTGGTAGGGACTGAACTACTTGAACCATCACCTATTGCTTCCCAGAGGCTGCTGGAGTCAGGAGTGAAGCTGGGTATCGAACCCAGGCACTTTGAAATGGGACAGGGCTGTCCTAACACCAGGCCAAATGTCCTCCCCTAGCTTTACATTTTCATCTGTCTAAGACAGATGGTGAGTTATTAAAGGGATCCTGGATATTATGGGGACAACAAAATCTCTTGAGGTTGACAAACTGAGCAGTTGACACTTACCTTGAAATGCCCTTGGGGGCATTTGTCAGAGAATTCTACATGGCTGTCCGTATCATACTTCACTGAATATCAGACACCCTTGACTGTAAGATGTGCCACTGCGGTATTTTATGTATGCACTTACTGTTAACCTGTCCATTTTGTCAAAGGGGAAATTAGGATGAAGGAAAGGATCCAGGCAGTGTCCTGTGGCTCAAGTCCTGCCCACTTGTCAGAGCTGGTGCTGATCATTTGGTCATGGGCATTGGTCCTCCTGAAGTGAGATGCTGCTCCTGCCTGAAGGTCAAAGACAAAGTGAAGGTCAAAGATAGTAAAACGAATGCTCCCTTCAGGAGACTAGGATCTAACACAGGAGCCAGATGTTAATGACGAGTGACTAAAGGTACGAGAACATGTTGAGATACTGACCCTGAGGCTGGGCAGACAAGGAGGAGTTTTGAGTACAGGTTCTAAAGATCTGGACTTGGTTAGTACTTGCTCCTTTAGCTTCTCCCTGGAAAGCACTGATTCAGACACCAAGAAAAGCTCCAATAACTTTTAGGAAGGTCCTGCCTTGACAAGCTCATACCTACTCACTTAATAATGCCAAACCGTGCAGACAGGTGTCCAGAGATGTTTGTATCGGGTGGGTGTGCCTGCTGCACTGAGTGATTCTTCCCCTGTCATGGTAGAGCTGGTGGGCAAGAATATCACTACCAAGGGTTATGCTGCCAATTCTCTCTCTTTGATCATGTTGATTAAGTAAACATGAAGTAGATATACAGATGATAAAGTCAGTTCATTGGTCACATGTAAAACGTGGGTACTATGGCACAGTGGTTAAGCTACCACTTAGGACACCTGCATCCCATATTGGAGTGCTGGTTTGGGTCCCTGCTTCTCCACTTCCAGCCCAGCTTCCTGTATCCTGGGAGGCAGTAGGTGATGGTTCACATGTTTGGGACCCTCCTTCCCACATGGAAAACCCAAATGGAGTTCCTGGCTCCTAGCTTTGGCCTGGTCCAGCCCTGGCTGTTGTGGGCACTTGGGAGTGAACCAGCAGATGGAAGATCTCTATCACTCTGCCTTTCAAGTAGATGGGGGAATAAACCACATTCTTCCCTTTGTTTCCTAACAGCTGTTAGATTTTCCTTCCCAAAGAAAGCACCCCTTTCTCCCTTCTTAGCACGCCTAGCTCTAGGGATGGACTTTGAGGATTAATTTCATGCTTAGTCCATGGACCCCTCAGTTATGGATCAGGATGCTTGTTTGACTGATGTCCTGGTTTCACCTTGGCCCTTACTGGGGAGAATGAGGATGCAGGTGCCCCTGGAAGCCAGCCTGAGATCTGAGCAACAGGCCAGGGAAGACAGAGCTAGGGCATCATGGGGTTCAACTGAAGGACCCTTGAAATCACACTGCCCCTTCTCAGACCCCAGCCCCATAAATCCTTACTGTAGTAGGTGCCAGTCTCGGTTGCAATTTCAGCATCTTGAAGCAAATGCACCCCCTAGAGAAGATACGGAAGTGAAAAGATTTCAGGTTTCAATGAGAAAAGTAGATTTGAACTGTGACTCCACTGTGGCCCTCCATCTCTTCACCTATAAGTGGAGATAAATAAGGATCAAATTACATAATTTATGCATGTCTGGTATAGTTCCTGCTATGTAACAATGAGTTGGTAATTAATAGTAGTTATTATATTTGTGCCCTGGACTTCAACACAAAAGGTATGCTTTAATTAGGAGTAATTTCTTACCCATAAACTATTGTGTCAGACTGTATGGTGCAATTGAAAGAGCCCTGTAGTGGGAGTCCAAAGACACGACTTTGATTCTGCCGGTGCGGGATCTTACAAAGCTTGTTTAGGCTCTTTCGCCTCAGTCTCCCCCATTCCATGGTGTGAAACCAAGAAAATCTCTAAGGATCCTTTTAGCTCAAAATGAATAATAGTCAATTTAAGTAGCAACATAAGGCACATGCGTGAGGTCTCAAAATACCTTCTTCTCTCCCTCATGGTGAGCCATAAGAATGGCAGCTGAGAAGTGAGTTTGCAAAGCTGAAGGCTCTCCAGGTTGAGGTCGAAGATCTAATCTGGAGACAGACGTTTATGTCCAGAGAGCAGGCTCTTCCTCGATGCTGGCACGGGTGTGTGTAAGCCTTGGTGCTTATTGGAGCAATGACACGGCTTTAAAAATTCTGATTTCAGTGTTACAGTTTTGTCTCCAAAAATATTAAATTTCTTTGTGCTCAGAAGCTCAACTATAGAATGGAGGACCTTGAAAAGCTCTTCAGAGTCTCTGGCAAATCCAACACTGATTCTATGAAAATCCCCATAAAGTCCTCGAGCTCAGAGGTAGGTGAAGTATGCTTATTTTTGCCTGGTCTGTGAGCTAAGAACACTTTTTTTTTAAACATTTGTTAAATGGTAAAGAAATCAAAAGGAGACTATTACCTTATGTCATGTGAAAATTAAATGAAAATCAAATTTCAGCATCCATAAATGAGTTCCATAATTATATAGGAAGGCAACTCCATCCATTTGCTGACATATTACCTACGGCTGCTTCGTGCCACCGGGCAGACTTGAGCATTTGCTGAGCACTGAAATAAAAAGACCCCTGAAGCATAAAATATTTACTGCCTGAGCCTTTACAGAAAGTCCACTGACTCCCTAGTCCATGGTCTAAAATTCTGTGAACTAATCCGATACATTAAACACTTTGTAAACCACGTAGCATTCATCCACATGAGCACGTAAGGGGTTCATATAAAGGAGAACTCTGAAATTAGAAAAGCACCCCCAGAACCAACAAGCCCAGCAACGCTCTCTGAGGTGGTGAACGGTGCCAGGATCAATCGCACGCTGCAAGGCAACATGGAATTATAAGCTAAGCTTAAAAAATAGGAACGAGAAAATCATCTGGATGACATTAAAGGAGTCGTCATTGTGCTCCTTTTACAGTCCTCCAGGCTTCCCTGGTCCACAGCAGGGATCTTTACAGCAAGTTGTTTTTTCTTCCTACACAGAAAGCTCTGACTGTGCCAGTGACGGCACGAAGCCCTGAGAGAAGCCGCCGGACAGGCCGGAGAGAAATGTGCGCCTTCGAGGGCGAGGGTGAGGAATGTTCCTACTCCATTTAGTTCTGACAAGTAAGTGGGAAGGGAGGGCACTCCCTGACCAGCCCGCAGCCCTGCGTGGGTGTGAATACAGTCATGGCTGCATATTACCACTTTGACCTTGATCTTAGACATTTGCTTGAGAAAATTTGCTCTATGCATGCTAATCCTCTCTTATTCATTGGGGCTATTTGGCCTTAATAAACACTTAAACAAATCTCATCTCATTGACGCTTATAAGGCAGTTCAATAAATTGATGTTTGATGATCTTAAATAATTTGGCCGGGCAAGAGACATTCAAACCAGTTCTGCACAATTCCAGGAGTCCAGACTTTTTCTACTCAGAAAATTAATTCCAGTCCTCTGTTGGTATCCATGCCAGCACCACTGTGGACACCCAGATCTGCAGACGCTCAAATCTCTTAGAGAAAATGATATCTATAACCTACACATGGCTCCCATATACTTTAAATCATCTCTGGATTATTTACCCTACCTAATACTACATAAATAGTTGTTATACTGTATTGCTTAAGGAATAATGACAAAGAGGGGGGAAAGTCTGTACATGTAAGTCCAGATGCAATTTTTTGCCAGTTTCATTTTTAAAAAATATTTATTTATTTGAAAGAGCAACAGAGAGAGAGGGAGAGATCTTCCATCTGCTGGTTAACTCCTCAAATGGCCACAACAGCCAAGGCTGGACCAAGCCAAAGTCAGGAGCACAGAATTCCATCCTCATCTCCCACTTGGGTGACAGGAAGCCAGGCTGTCATCCACTTCCTTCCCAGATGCATTAGCATGAAGCAGAGTAACTAATTTCAAAGCACTGCTCCAAAATAGGAGGTTGGCATTACAAGGAGCACTTTAATCCCCTATGTCTCAAAGCCGGCCTCTTTCCAAATAATTTTCTATCCATAGTTGGTCAAATTCATGAATGCAGAACCTGGCAATAGGGAGGCTGACTAAATGTAAGTAACAATTGGGTTTCCATGACAATTTTTTGAACTTTTAGTGATTGATGTCTAGACAAATAGGGTAGTTAGTCTGTTAAAAATAGAAGATATAAGGTGCTGGCGCTGTGATGTAGCAGGTAAAGCCGCCACCTGCAGTGCTAGCATCCCATATGGGTGCTGGTTTTAGTCCTGGCTGCTCCACTTCCAATCCAGCTCTCTGTCATGGCCTGGCAAAGCACCAGAGGATGACTCAAGTCTTTGGGCCCCCACACCCATGTGTGAAAGCAGGAAGAAGCTCCTGACTCCTGGCTTCGGATTGGCTCAGCTCCAGCCATTGCAGCCATTTGGCGAATGAACCAGCGGATGGAAGATCTCTCCCTCCCTCTCTGCCTCTGCCACTCTGTAACTGTGCCTTTCAAATAAATAAATAAATCTTTAAAAGAAGTTGAAGACATTAAGTGGTATTATTTTCTAGTAACAGTTTCTCAGATATAGTGATTTGGAGGTTGAAAGAATCAAGTTTTGTTTTTGTTATTACTTAAGCTCTATGAGCCTCAATTTTCCTCATCTGTAAAATGGGACAGTAAAATCTGCCTTGAACATACCTCAGAGATATTGCAAGTATCAAGTAAAACAGTTTATAAGAAAGTGCTTGTAAGTACTTAATTATATTTCTTGATCACCATTGGATTCTTTTTTATCAAATTTTTTTTAATCCAATGTTACTATTCTAAGAAGGAAACAGATGGATACTTAAGATTTAAGTAGACATAAATGCAAACTGGGTACGTATTATTGGATGAAAAATGTAATTTTAACAAATGGATGTTTTGGGGGCCAGTGCTGTGGCATAGCAGGTAAAGCCGCTGGCTGAAGTGCCGGCATCCCATATTGGCACCAGTTCTAGTCCTGGCTGCTCCACTTCCAATCCAGCTCTCTGCTATGGCCTGGGAAAGCAGTAGAAGATGGCCCAAGTCTCTGGGCCCCTGCACTCTCGTGGGAGACCCAGAAGAAGCTCCTGGCTTCTGCCTTCGGGTTGGTCCAACTCCGAGCGTTGCAGCCATCTGGGGAACGAACCAGCAGATGGAAGACCTCTCTCTCTCTCTCTCTCTGCCTCTGCCTCTCTGTAACTCTGCCTTTCAAACAAATAAATAACTCTTAAAAAAATGAATGTCTTCTTTTGGTAAGCTTTTGGATAAAATTATCATCCTAAAGAAAAACCATTTTCTCACTTTGTGTAAGATGCTATGCACCCAGTGGAAAGAACAGGTCTTCAAAGAAGGAGGTACCTTTCTCTGAAGGGAGGAGAGAACCTCCACTTTGACTATGACCTTGTCTAAACAAGATAAGAGTCGGAGAACTCAAGGGGCTTCCATAGCCTTGGAAACTCATGACTGGTGCATAGGGAGATTACTGATGCCATAGACAGGAGTGTCAATTTGTAAAGTCAACAACAGGAGTCACTGTGCACTTACTCCTCATGTAGGATCTCTGTCCTTAATGTGCTGTGCATTGAGATTTAATGTTATAACTAGTACTGAAACAGTATTTTTCACTTTGTGTGTCTATGTGGGTGCAAACTGTTGAAATCTTTACTTAATGTATACTAAACTGATCTTCTGTATATATAGAAAATTGAAAATGAATCTTGATATGAATGGAAGGGGAGAGAGAGCGGGAAAGGGGAGGGTTGCGGGTGGGAGGGAAGTCATGGGGGGGAACCAATGTAATCCATATTCTGTACTTAGGAAATCTATATTCATTAAATAAAAGTTAAAAAAAATTGGAAGGACTCCATAAAATAAAATCTATGAAACTCCGTAAAAAAAAAATAAAAAAGAGAGATGCTATGCAAAGAGGGCAACACAGCCGCAATCACAAACTCCCTCCGAGTTTGCAATGCAGTTGGATGTGGCACAAGTTAAGTTCCATGCCACGTACCATACTGTACATGTGCACTCCCGCCTGGGTTGCAACCACCATAAACAGTTCCCACGAGTTCCGGCTTTCACAGTCTCCCAAGAACGGCAGGGGCTGCTGGCCCACAGCATGGCGATAATCTGTGTCCACATGCTGGCTCCATGGCTACTCCACTTACAAGTGTCTGACACACTGAAAAGACCCACCCCTGTTCTCATGCTTCCCTCACCCAGCCCAGGAACTGAACCACCGCCTCTCAGCTTCCTTCTTCCTCACAGCTATCCTCTCTTGCACACGTACACACAGGTGCTCTTTCATTCCCAGGTTAGTGTGCTAGGGCTGCCCTGACAAAACACCACAGACTGGGTGTATGACCAGGAGTACAGTGCCTCACGGTTCTAGAGGCGGGGAGCCTGCAGTCCAGATGCTTCCTCTTAAGGGCTGTGAGGGCAGGGTCTGTCCTGTGCTCCTCACCGTGGCTCCTCAATGGCTGTCTTGGTATTCACATGGCAT